TGGGTGAGCAGAGTGGGGTGAGACATGGCGTTATTTCTGATGTGCGAACAAAAAGGTTGCTATCAAAAGGTTGCCAGGGATACTTAGCTCATGTAATGTTGAACGATGTTGCTCCTAGTAGTGTGGAGGACATAAGGGTAGTCAGGCATTTTCTTGATGTTTTTCTTGACAATTTACTTGGATTGCTGCTAGACCGAGATGTGGAGTTTACCATTGATTTGCTTCCAGGTAGTAACCCTATATCCTTAACTCCTTATCGAATGGCTCCTGCTGAGTTGAGGGAATTGAAAATCTAGTTGTAGGAATTAGTGGATAAAGGTTTTATTCAGCCTAGTACTTCAGCTTGGGGAGCTCCAGTGTTGTTTGTGAGGAAGAAAGACGGGACTTTGAGGCTATGCATTGATTATCAGCAATTGAATCGGGTAACAATTAAAAATCGCTATCCATTGTCGTGTATAGATGATTTGTTTAATCAGCTTCGAGGTGCTTGTATATTCTCTAAGATTGATTTAAGGTCTGGTTGTTACTAGTTGAAGATCAGTAGTGAGGATATCCCTAAGATAGCTTTCAGGACTCGTTATGGTCATTACAAGTTTCTGGTAATGCCATTTGGATTGACGAATGCACTAGCAGCTTTTATGGATTTGATGAATTAAGTATTCCAGTCGTATTTGGATAGGTTTGTCATTGTCTTTATTGACGATATCCTAGTATACTCTAAGTCTAAAGCTGAGCATGTTCGACATCTTACTTTTGTGTTGAAGAGGTTGAGGGAACACCAACTGTATGCTAAGTTTAGTAAGTGCCAATTTTGGTTAGATCAAGTGGCATTTTTGGGACACATCATATCTACTCAAGGTATTTTGGTGGATTCTCAAAAGGTAACAGCAGTGGAGAAGTGGGAGTAACCACGAACCGTCACTGAGGTGAGGAGTTTTCTTGGCTTAGTAGGATATTACCGACGGTTTGTAAAGGATTTTTCCATGATTGCTTTAACACTGACGAGGCTAACTAGGAAGGATGTTAAATTTGAGTGGGATGATAATTGTGAGTAGAGTTTCCAGCAATTGAAGTATTGTCTCACTCATGCACCTGTTTTGCCACTCCCGTATGATAGTGGTAATTTCGAAGTCTACAGTGATGATTCCTTAAATGGTTTGGGATGTGTGCTAATGCAACATGGTAGGGTGATTGCTTATGCTTCACGACAATTAAAGCCTCAATAGTTGAATTACTCTACGCATGATTTGGAGTTAGCGGCTATTATCTTTGCTTTGAAGATGTAGAGACATTATCTTTATGGGGAAAAATGTTAGATGTTTATAGATCATAAGAGTCTTCAATATCTTTTCACTCAAAGAGACCTTAATCTTCGTCAACGGAGGTGGTTGGAATTGCTTAGTGATTATGATTGCACGGTTGATTATCACCCTGGTCGTGCGAATGTGGTAGCTGATGCACTTAGTAGAAAATCTCAAGGTCTTATTAATGCGTTGTACGCTAGTCGTGTTCCTCTTCTGGCAGACTTAAGATCAACTAAAGTGAGGTTAAAGGTAGAAGATCAGGAGGTAGCTTTCAAGTTAGGCCGATTTTAATTGATTGTGTACTTGAAGCCCAGATGGTTGATGAAGAGACCCAGGAAATAATTCAAGCAAGGAATCAGGGGAAAAAGAAAGACTTCAGAGTTCGAGAATCTGATGGCATTCTGATGCAAGAGAGTAGAATGTATGTGCCGAATAATTTGGAATTAAAGAAAGCTCCAGTGAGTATTGTTTTGGATCGTGACCCAAGATTTACTTCTAAATTTTGGGTGGCTTTTCAGGAAGCTTTGGGTACGAGATTACTCTACAGTACAACATATCATCCTCAGACAGACGGACAATCAGAGAGGACCATTCAGACGTTGGAGGATATGTTGAGATCTTTGGTGTTGCAATTTGGCAATGCTTGGCACAAGCAGTTGGATTTAATGGAATTTTCCTACAACAACAACTTTCATTCAAGTATCGGCATGTCACCATTTGAGGCACTGTATGGTAAATCTTGTCGAACACCCTTATGTTGGTCAGAGGTCAGAAAAAGAGTTTTGGTGGGCCCCAAGATTGTAGATGAGACTACTCAAAATGTTCAGGTAATTAAGTTTAACTTGAAAGCAGCCCAGGATCGACAAAAGAGCTTGGCAGACAGGCATGCCACTGACAGGGTGTATAAAGTTGGTGATTAGGTGTTTCTGAAGCTTTCACCGTGGAGAGGTGTAGTACGGTTCGGAAAGACAGGTAAGTTAAGTCCCAAGTATATCGGACCATATTTGATCACCAAGCGAGTTGGTGCAGTGGCTTACAGGATTGAGTTGCCTTCTGAGCTGGCTAAAGTGCATAATGTTTTTCATGTGTCCATGCTTAATCATTACGTTGCGGATCCGTCGCATGTGATACCTCCTCAACCATTGGAAATAAATCTGGATTTGACATATGACGAGGAACCAATAATGATTCTGGATTGGAAGGAAAAGGTTCCGAGGAACAAGACTGTGAGTTTAGTGAAAGTCTTATGGAGGAATCACTCAGCGGAGGAGGCTACTTGGGAGACTGAAGACCGAATGAGAGATTTGTATCCTCGGTTGTTCTATGATTACTAGTGGTTTGTTTGAGTTATTGTTATGAATTTCGGGACGAAATTCTTATAAGAAGGGTAGGAAGTGACAGCCCGTCCCGAATTATTTGTACCGTAGGTGTGAAATGACGATTTTTCCCTTAGTGGGTATTTGCCATTTTGGTGTGTTGTTTAGTTGTTTTTGGTGGTTGACTCTACAGGACACACACATACCCATACCACACACTCCCGTGACTCTCTCTCTCTCTCGGACTTCATTCCATTTTCCTTACAACTCGTACAGACGAGCTTCCATTCAACCATTTCTGGCACGGATCGTGACCATTGTTGGTGTTTTTGGACTTTCTTTGAGTTCAGGATTCAAATGGTGGTGTTGGTTGGACGTGAAACCCTCGAAAACCTGAGAACCAGGGAACCCCGATTTTGTGCACTGTTCATGCACACGTGATCTTGAGGGTTTTAGAAGTTTCTAAGGTCATAGGAAGTTTTAGAATATGCTCATGAAGCTCGGGGAACAAGTTTGAAGGATTTTGGACATCAGGATAACAAGTTCTAAGGTTGGCCGAATTTTGCGAGGATTCTCCGGCGAGATTCCGTGAATTTCAAGGCTTGAAAGTGGTAAGGTTTTGTTCTACTTGTTGTAAGCTTCATTTTGGTACCAATTTCATGGAATTTAGTTGAGAAATGAAGAAGATATGAAGTTTTGAAAATTTTCCAGTTTTCGGCGATACTTCTTTAAAAACTTGGCATTGACTAGATGTTTTTGCAAATTTCCCTCTAAATCTGCCAAGTAGTGCCCTCCTTGGTCTAACACTTTGGCAATTGTAAAAGGGCCCTCCCAAGTGGGACTCAATTTCCCAAAACCTCTAACTTGAGCTCCCAAGAGTAGAACTGCCTTCCAAACCAATTCTCCTTTCTTGAAGGTCTTCAGCCTTGCTCCTTTGTTGTAGGCTCGGGCAACAACCTTTTTCCCTTCTTGGATTTTGTTTAGAGCTTCAATTCGGGCTACATCCAAATCCTTAATTCCTTGACACATGCCCTGAATAAATTCAACACTATGTAGGTCAATTTGGTTATGAAGCCTTACATAACTCACGTTGATCTCCATATAGAGCACTGCATCTTGTTCGAATGTCAATGTATAAGGAGTAGTGTTAGTTCCTGCTCTTTTTGAAGTCATATAAGCCCAAAGAGTATCTCTCAACTTCTTATGCCATCTTTCTGGGCTATTTGCCACTATTCTCTTAATAATGTTCACCAATATCTTATTGCTAGCTTCTGCTTGGCCATTAAACTTGGGATAGTAAGGACTAGACTAGATCATCTTTATCTTGAACTTGGCTACAAACTCTTCAACTTCTCTTGAGATAAATGATGGGCCTCTGTCTGTAACAATTGTCTCGAGAACCCCATATTTGTGTAGGATTTTGGTCTCAATGAACTTCTTCACATCAACTGAATTAATGGTCTTCACAGCTAAAGCCTCAACCCACTTAGTAAAGTAATTAGTTGCTACAATTATGAAGGTGTGCCCCTTCCTAGAAGATGGGTGTATTTGCCTGATGAAGTCCATCACCCACCCTCTTAAAGGCCATGGCTTTACTACTGGATTTAAGGGTACTGATGGTGTGTGCTGGAGAGGTCCATGCCTTTTGACATTCTTCACATCCTTTAGCATAAGCTTTATAATCTTTTTCCATGTCGAGCCAGTAGTAGCCATATCTTCCCAGCAACCATCTCATCTTTGTCCCTGCTTTATGTGCTCCACAAATGCCTTCATGCACTTCAGCCATCACCCTCATTGATTCTCCAAACCCAAGTGATAAGCTCATATTTATGTATATTTTACATCAAATTCAATCGTCTGTTCTTAGTTAGTTCCTTATATTTTTGAGCTATTTACTTTGGTTTTGTATCTTGTAGGATTTGTCAAGCAAAGAAAAGAAAAATAGCACAAGTAGGATTTTAAGTAACAAATTTGTCAAACCAGCCTGTGCTGATCAACTGACTTTGGAAGCAAGTTTCGGATAGGTCAGAATGAATTAGACAATGACCCTTATATTCTCGGAAAGCTACGGATGTCTATTTTCTAGAGCATTTCATAGATTGTTAATATCTTTTTTCTAGAAGAAGTTATGGCCGTTTTAACACTGCAAGGTTCCCAAGAGGCTGAGCAGTTTGTAACTGACAAGATTGCAATGAAAGCAATAAACCCAATAAATCTAGCAGCTAAAACTGAAGCAACCAAGAACAAACCAGCTGACACCTATTCAAATATCAGAGGAAATGGAATTAAAGATGAGGATTAAGTGGGAGTAATTGGCATAAAGGCTACCTAAAGAGTTACAATTGTTTTACCATTTCCTCTCACTTATTATCATCACTAAATGGCTGTTAGTGGGCAGAGTTATGGAGAAGAAACTGGGGTAGCAAGCAAGACCAAAAAGGCTGCAGGTTGCTGCGGCAAAGGGGAAAAAATAGAAAAAGGAAAAAAAAATAGAAAAGAAAGAATAAAAGAAGGCTGGAGGTTGCAGTGAAAAGAAAGGAAAAAAGACAAGGCAACAGCGTTGGGGAGGGAAGGAAATGAAAGAGGAAATCTTGGCATTCTTTTATTTCGGTTTTATCTTCTCAAAGTCATGCCTTTCTTTTGGTTTTGTTTAAGGATTATGTGTATCTAATTTTTAGTAGTTAGGGGCTGTTTTGAAGCCCCGAATATGATTGCAAGTTTGTTATGACATTTCGTTTGAATTACTTTTATGAATGGATGAAAATTGGTTCACTACTTGTCTCATGATGAATAATTTATGTGTTTTCTACGGATGCATACTTAGTAAGCATAACTAGGATTCTAATGCTATGAATATGTGTGTGCTTACCCTTGTCGAATGAGGACCTACATATGTTCTAGAGTAGTCCTTGTTAATTGCGATTAACATGTGAATCAATTTCTAGGATAAGTAAGACAACGCTAGTACTTACGATGCCTTGTGATGACTCAAACTCCCTTCGTTCTTAATGATTTCTACTTGTTAAATCTATGAACACACCACTCTAGATAGCATGCTAGGGACTAAGTTAAGTTGAAAACGCCATTCTCTTGACATACTACATAAGAAAAAGTAATAGGTTGAGTTCTAACATTGAGCCAACTTGAGTAAAGACAGCAACCCAGTTTTTGTGACAATTTAAGTAATTAGATAAAACAATCTTCTACGAGAAAGACCCTTATTTTCATATGCTACAATTGACAAATCTTATTGTTATAAGGAAAATCAATAGGACATTTGTATGCTACTTTGTGGTGTGCTTTTAATCCTATCAAATTTTTGGCGCCATTGCCGGGGATTGTTATTTCTAATTACTTATTTCTCCATTGTTTTCTTTTCTTGTCCAAATTAGTGTTTTTGTTTTTGTTTTTATTTCAGGTACTCTTCATACTCGAAGGTCCAAGAGCATTGATCTAGCTTCCTACGATCCTGAGCTTGAACGAACACTTCAAAAGCTTCAGAGAAAAATCAAGCAGAAGCGTGCATCGGTGTCTTAACCACCATCTTATCCGCCACATTTGAGTTCGGAAGAGGAGGAAGAACCGCAAGAAGGCATGGCTGATAACCATACTTTGAGGGAGTTAGTAACGCCAAATACAGATCAACAACTATTGTGCATTCATGGACAAGACACCAACTAATTGTGTAATGCTTGATGTAGCAAGTGGAGGAGCATTCATGGACAAGACACCAACTAATGCTAAGGCATTGCTAAAGAATATTGCTGGCAACATATGACAATTTGGAGACAGAGATGAGCTACCTCTGAAGAAAGTTAACGAGGTAAGTGCTAATTCTAGTATTGAATTACAATTAGCTAACTTGACTAATCTTGTGCAACAGGTTGTGGTGGCTCCAAAACAGGTGTGCTGTGTATGACCAATGATGGGACATGCCACAAACATATGCCCTTCGTTGATGGATCAAGGTGGTCTTGAGCAAGCTAATGCATTAGGAGGGTTTCAGGGGCAATAAAGGCAAAAGTATGATCCATACTCCAACAACTATAACACGGGATGGCGCGATCATACACACTTAAAGTGGAATAATCAAGACAACAGACAACAATATGTTCCCATCAACTATAACCGTCCACTTGGCTTTTTTTCAAGCAAGACCGTAAACACCATTTCAGAACAAGCTCCAAGTAAGTCTCTTGAGGATTTAATTACTTCTTTAGCTAACTCTACTCAATCTTATCAACAGAAAACAAACAAAGCAATTGAAAACCTTGAGCGCCAAATGAGTCAGTTAGCAAGTTTGATGGGGGCAACAACACCAACCAGGAAGGTTGCCTAGCCAAATTGTGGTGAATCCAAATGCAGAGCAGATGAATGTTATGACTTTAAGGAGTGGAAAATAAGTTTTTCAGCAGTCGAGGATGCAAAAGAGGACTAGAAAAGATACAAATGAGCAAGGGGAGATACAAACCAAAAATCTTGAGCAAGATGAGGTTTCAACAGAAACTGAAAAGTCTCCTAAAGCTACAGAATTGAACAAAAAAGATTCTGATAAAGTAAGTAAAGAAGTTCAAAATTCATTTAACTCATGTGTCCTTGTTCCTTTTCCTCGTAGGTTTATGAAGTCTAAGAAAGAGCAAACTGATAAGGAAATCTTGGATACTTTCCTAAAATTCCAAGTGAACTTACCTTTTTTAGATGCCCAAGTATGCAAAGTTCCTTAAAGACCATTTTACAAACAAGAGGAGATTCAATAATCAAGAAATTGTGGCATTAAGTGAGGAAGTAGCAGTTGTTTTACAGAGAAAGCTGCCACCAAAGTTGAAAGATGCCGGTAGCTTTACCATTCCATGTATAATTGGAGGGAAAGAGTTTGGATTTTGTGATTTGGGGGCATCCATTGATTTGGTGCCATATTCAATGTATGAATCATTGAACCTTGGACACTTGAAGGAAACAAAGCTAGTAATCCAGTTGGCAAATCGTTCAAATAGATATCCCAAAGGCTTTTTCGAGGATGTACTTGTGCAATTGAATGAGCTCATTTTTTCCACTAACTTTTTTGTTCTTGAGATGGAACATGACCCTATGCCTACTGCACTTCCTCTTATATTGGGAAGACCATTCCTTAGAACGGTGCGTGCAAAGATTGATGTCTACGATGGTACCTTAACCATGGAAATTGATGGAGAAAGCGTCAAGTTTAGAATCTTCAATGCTATGAGGTACCCTAGTGATTTTGAATCTTGTTTGTCTATTGATGTGTTTGACGATTTTGTGCAGGATTGTTTTAATGAAGGTGTGGGACAAGATAATTTAAAGAAGGTGTTAGTGCATAGAACATGGAATGCTTAATTATTCCGAGCACATTGAAGAAGAATTAAACCAGACAGTGGCAGCCCTTGAGTCTCTTTCACCAATTCGTGGTAAGTCTTCTTCCTATTTTATTTCTCTTCCTACTTCTAACAAAAAATCTCTTCCTTCTGTGATTCAGGCACCCAAATTGGAGCTCAAACCAATTCCTGAAAATTTGAAGTATGCATTTTTGGGAGAAGATGAAACATTACTAGTCATCATATCGTCATAACTCAAGCTTCAATTGAATGAGTTAGATGAAATCTGGAATGATGCATACGAGTTTAGTCTAATATACAAGGAGAAATCAAAGGCATTGTTGGAAATGTGCCCTAAAACCAATCATATGATGATACTTTATGGACATTTCACATGTTAAACTAATCTAGTTTAATATTAAGGGCAAACATTATTGTTTGAGCCATCTCATATAAATGTTATATGCTTAAACGATAAGTCCAAGGAATATGTGATTGGGAGAATGCGATCTAAAGAAGTTAGATTCATGAGACCATTCTTTCGTAGACACATCCTAAACGTTCCTGATCATAGGATTGCCAATTGGGCATTGACAGTCCGTTAAGATCAGTACGTACTGTGTCTTCTCTCAGGCAGAGTGACTAGTCTTGAGTCATTGGTGTGAGTGACACCAAGACAAGCATGTAGGTGCTCAATAGAGAATGAGTTCACTGAACACGATCAACGAGGAGTTCTCATATTCATGTCACATGAGAACTCATGGTTGGGATAATGCAAAGTAGTCCTTTGACCTGAGGCATCACAGCTGTCTTGTGGTTAGGTACTTGATCTTTGATTATGTCAAAGTCACTCTATCAGGGTGTCCACGGCATCGTCGAGGTTAAGCCACTTAGCCATGGAGGCAAGTGAATGCGCAACAAGGGATCTCTAACCTTCAAACTGTTTGAGGGAGAATACTCTATGATATGATTTAGAATCTCTGGCCAGAGTATGAATGAAATGTTGGAATGCGTTCCAGATCACATTCAAGGTAATCATATAAGTACAAGATTCACATTGGATAGAAGACATGAATAAACTATCAAACCAAACAATGTGGTCAAGAGTATTGTATTAGAGAAAGACCGTATTGCATTTGTAATCCTAAAACTGAATAGGTTCTCCACCTCTTCTGATTAGCTTGGGTAACCATGACATGCTGCTAGGCGTCAACCATGGTTTGTGGAAGCCCTAAACGTGTATAATCACTAACGGGAGAATTGAAAGTAAGTTTCAATTCACAATCGATTAGAAAGAGTTTTTAATCGCCCACTGCCTCGCTAAAAGGAAGCTAATGGATCGTTCACCAAGTAAGGTAGAGTTTGAAGAAACAACGGAGATGAGTAAGAATAATTAAATGGTTTAATTATTTATCTAAGGCTAGGATTAATTAATATGTTAATTAATCAAACGAATAAGTTCGTTAAAGACCTCGGGTTAGTTTTGGGCCGCAAGGCCCAATGGGATTTGAATGTCAAGCCCATTAACTCAAGTTGTATGACAACTTGAATAAACAAAGGGCTTGAAAGCCCAATAAACCCTATAGGCCGGCCATGTTAGAAGAATAGGGCTTTTGGTCCATTAGGTCACTTATTTGAAGGGACTATATAAAGGACTTTATAGCCTAAAATTGATGTGTGGTAATTTTTGGAGAAAGGATGAGAACACAAGCTCTCCTTTCTCTCTAAAATTTTCGGCCACCTTGGAGGGATCATCTAGCAATCAAACTCCTCCAAGGTCACTCATTTCTTCTTCATTATGCCTTGGTGATGAATCATTAGAGGTTCTCAATTTTGGGAACTTGGAGAAACCTTTTCATCCATCCAAATCCATGGATCTAAGATGCAAGGAATGAAGGCCCTCTCTTTGGGTGATTAGCCTTTGCTTATGCAAAGAGGAATCTACAAAGGTCTTGATTTCTCAACTCACTTTGTTTTGAGTTGAGTCTTGGTTCACCTATCTACTAGGCTTTGAAGTTCATGGGTTAAGTTTTGTTTTTGAGTGCATATAAACATGATTCCGCCTTTTAATTGTTAATTGCATGTTGTTGATGTTGCTCAAATGAACTTGTTTTTCACAAATCTTCCTTCAGGCATTTCATGACAAGATGATATCAAGGAAGAGCTTTGTCATTGGTTAGAAAGTTCTTCTCTTTAATTCTCGCCTTTGGTTACTTCTAGGTAAGTTTCGTTCTCGATGGGTTGGTCCATTTGTTATAACTAATATTTTTCCACATGGTGCAGTGAAAATCCAAAATGTGAAGACCGGAGACGTGTTCAAAGTGAATGGACATAGACTCAAGCCATATTACGAGTCTTTTGCGGAGCATGATGTGGAGGAAAGTTTGATTATGTCCACCATTGGAGTTTGCTGCAGAATTGAAGTTTGGGGGTCATCACTTGATTTAACTGCAAATTGGGGAAGTTTTCAGTCCAAATGCTTTATTTGTTTCTTATTATTTTATTTTATGCATAATTGTGTTTTCTGACATTGGGGACAATGCCCAGTTTAAGTTTGGGGGTAATAAGGATTGAAAAAATGACCAAATTGAAAATTTTTGTACCTTCAACTAAAAATTGGTTTGATTTGTTTTCGTGTTGTTTCTTTTTGTTTTCTTAATTAGTTTTGTTTACTCTAAAAAAAACCGAAAACATTTATAAAAAAAATTCGGAAGATTTGAAAATCCAAAAAATATAGTCTTATTTTTCTTTATTGTTTTGAAGTAGATTTTTGAACCATGGTGATCAAGAACTTAGTAAGCATGTATTGTGTGAAATTCCTGATTCTCTTGTTAGTTTTGTACATGTTAATCATCTTTGAAAAACCAAATCCACATAGCCTTGTTGATGTTAAACTAAAGCATGACTTAAAGCTTCATATGTGAATATAGTGACCATGTACAGCCTATGTGAGTTTTTGAGCCTATTGAAAGTGTGTGCATTTTTCATACACTCATATTCTTTCATGTGTGATGAACTTATGTGACTTACATCTCTCGAACTTGCATAACGATCTTTCGAAATGTTTGTCATTGATTGCATGAACTTGAAAAGGATAGAGGCATTAGGCTTACCACCATGGCCCAAATAAGCATGTTTCCTAAAGAAAAATGATATCATTAGATTGCCAATTTGAGCCGTATATGTTGAGCCTTTCTTATCACCAAATATGTCTACCCTTATACCTTAAACATTTTTTCCTTACCCTTTCCAAGCTTGCTAGTGAGCAATGTGAGATTGTCTTATGAGAAATCTTTGTGAAGTACTTTGAAGGAGTTTGGCAAAAGAATAAGTGTGGGGGTATTTTATGTTTTCATTTAGTTATGTGCAAAATTGGTTCAAAAAAAAAAAAAACAAAAAGAAGAAGAAAAAGAAAAATTGTATACAAAGCAAATAAAAAGTGTTTTAAGTTTTAGTTTAGGGTGTGGTTGGAGGTATTAATAGAGTAGTTGGAGAACTTGAGCTCTTATAAATCTCAACAAGAGAATTGCTTGCAATGTAGCTTGGAACTTGTGTTTACCTATCCGTTCATTTCTATAACCCTCTCCCTAAGCCTCATTACAACCAATATTGTGGAGATGAGATCTTTATGCAAGCTTATGGTAGATCTTTCACATTTGATTCTTTGAGCGAAAACGTTAAACTAAACATGTGTGATTGAGTGTATGTCCCGTGAGAAGGTCAATAGTTTGCATGTGGTGTTTTAAAAACGAAAAAAAAAACTTGAAATTGCATTAGCATGGCTATTACACACACTACACTTCAAGGATGGTTAAAAGGTCGCTGTTAACATTTGAATAAGGAAGATGAGTTTGGATTAGCTTGTTAGGTGCTAGCTAAGGTTCCTGATGATTTGTTTTCTTGAATGAAATTCTATGAGGGTCACATAAGCGGAAGCTAATGTTTTTCATGTTGCTACGTTTTCATGTTTTCTTTGTTTTGCTCGAGGACTAGCAAAAGCTAAGTGTGGGGGTATTTGATAATCTCATATTTATGCATATTTTACATCAAATACACTTGTCTTTTCTTAGTTAGTTCCTTATATTTTTGAGCTATTTACTTTGGTTTTGTATTTTGTAGGATTTGTCAAGCAAAGAAAAGAAAAATAGCACAAGTGGGATTTTAAGTAACAAATTCGTCAAAACTGCATGTGCAGATCAGCTGACTTTGGAAGCAAGTTGCGGACAACTCCGAATGAATTGGAGGTTCCCAAGAGGTTGAGCAGTTTGTAATTGACAAGTTACGAATGTCTATTTTCTGGATTATTCCGCGGATTGTTAATATCATTTTTCTAGAAGAAGTTATGGCCATTTTGACACTGAAAGGTTCCCAAGAGGCTGAGCAGTTTGTAACTGACAAGACTGCAATGAAAGCAATAAACCCAATAAATCTAGCAGCCAAAACTGATACGGCCAAGAATAAGCCAGCTAACACCTACTCAAATATAAGAGGAAATGGAATTAAAGATGAGGAAAGTGGGAGTAATTGGCATAAAAGGTTACCTAAAGATACGCAATTGTTTTACCATTTCCTCTCGCATATTGTCATCACTAAATGGCTGTTAGTGGGGTGAGTTATGGAGAAGAAACTGAGGCAGCAAGCAAGAACAAACATGCTGCATGTTGCAGCGCAAAGGAAGGAAAAAAGACAAGGCAGCAGCGTTGGGGAGGGGAGGAAAGGAAGGAGGAAATCTTGGCATTCTCTTCTTTTGGTTTTATCTTCTCAAACTCATGTCTTTCTTTTGGTTTTATTTAAGGATTATGTGTAACTAATTTTTAGTAGTTAGGGGCTGTTTTGAAGCCCCGAATATGATTGCACGTTTGTTATGACATTTCGTTTGAATTACTTTTATGTATGGATGAAAATTGGTTCACTACTTGTCTCATTGATGAATTCTTTATGTGTTTTCTACAGATGCATACTTAGTAAGCATATCTAGAATTCTAATGCTATGAATATGTGTGTGTATGCCCTTGTCGAATG